CTGCAACTTCCACCTCCCGGGTTCAAGCCTGTCTCCCAAGTAACTGGGATTACAGGTGCCCGCCACCATACCCAGCTAATTTTTTTTTTTTTTTTTTTGTATTTTTGGTAGAAACAAGGTTTCACCATGTTAACCAGGATGGTCTCAATCTCCTGACCTCATGATCCACCCGCCTCAGCCTCCCAAAGTGCTGGGATTACAGGCGTGAGCCACCAGGCCTGGCCTATATTTCAGTTTTTAAACTTAAAATAATGTCAAAACTGAAAGAAACCCATGATTTTAGAGATGAGAAAACTGACATCCAAGACAATGAAGTAACTTGCTGGTAAACAATAGAGCTAGGTATAACATAAAAGAAGCTCCAGTTAATGTATTTTTTATAAAACATGATCTTGATAACTTTGCTGAAAAAAACTAAGAACTAAAAATCTTAATTATGTTTTAAATAAACATTTGTAATCAAAGCCATACTCATTTGGAATTCATAGGAGACCATGCTAAAATTTGTATTTGCTTAGAAAATGCTCTCTTCTAAAAAGAAAAGCTAGTAAGACTGTAAGAGAAAATATTATTTTCCTTTAACTTTAAAACTTCAAAGTTGGGCCGGGGCGGTGGCTCACACCTGTAGTCCCAGCACTTTGGGAGGCTGAGGCTGGCGGATCACAAGGTCAAGAGAACCAGACCATCCTGGCCAACGTGGTGAAACTCTACGTCTCTACTAAAACTACAAAAATTAGCCGGGGTGGTGGTGGGTGCCTGTAGTCCTATTTACACTCCAGAGGCTGAGGCAGGAGAATCGTTTGAACCCAGGAGGCGGGGGTTGCAGTAAGTCAAGACCATGCCACTGTACTCCAGCCTGGGTCACAGAGTGAGACTCCAACTCAAAAATAAATAAATAATAAAAATACATGTTTTTAAAATATAAATATCATTCAAAGCTGTTTAGTATAGATTCACTTCAAATTGGATCACTAAAGTTTAACTTTTTAAAAAATATCTAAAATGATTTGGAATATGAAAGGATCCTAAGTGAACAGAAAAAACACCCTTAAATCTGAGGCAGGTCCTCAACATCCCCAAGATTAGTACAGTTGCTTAGCATGGTAACTGTGGAATCAGATGTAGGGGCTCCAGCATAAGAAGCAGCCACATAGGAATCACCTCTACTCACTATAACATAAAATTACTGTTTACTTTAACCATGGTTGCTCATTTCTGTAACAATTTCATACATATATCTTTCCATTTCTTAGTCTGAATTGTACACTGCTAGTCATTATCATAAGAAAAAAAAATCTCAGGCTAATATAATAGAGGCCAAATTTAGAGAGAGGAATAAAAATCTTCCTTCAGTCTAGGCTAAATGGATTGATTACACAAAGAAGTCCATACATCCAAAAGCACACAGATGTCTGCACTAGTTCCCAGGGCTCAAACAATACCAGTCATTCAATAGCTTTCCTTTTACGTAAGTTGCTGTGAGAAAGCTCAGTCAGCTCTTGTGAACCTCATAATCCAGGATCCTGGAACTCTGAAAAGTCTACATGTTTCCTCATCACTGTTTTCATGTACTTTGTCTGGAACTCAAACTTCATATTTCCCCCAAAAAACAAATCTGGAAATCATCTCTTCTGTTTGACAAATGATGTACTCTACCTATAATTACTTTTCAACTTAAAACCACAATCCAAGGTAAAAATCTAAGATCATTAACTCTGAAAGATTATCTGATGAATGTATTTTTCAGTGTTGGGGTTTAAAATATAATTTTAAATATACTTGATCATATGTACATATATCAAATATATATATACCATTTGACCAGATTCTATTTGTTTCCGTTGCAGTGTTTTACAATAGCCATGACACCAAATGACTTCTCAAAAATTAAAAGAAATTTTGAGAGAAGGACTGTTAAGGGTGGGGGAGGGAGTTGAATTTACTCACTCACTCTCTCCTGCTCTCCCCTCCTTCTGCCTCCCACATTAACCACACACATCAAAAACAATAAAAAACATTTCACTGGGTGTTTGACCAAGCCTTTAGTCCACAGAAAAAAAGAGTTATTCTTTACTGAACCACCTTCAGAAGCTAAATAACACTACTTTCTACCTTCAAGGTACAGTACTGCTGATTCTTCCAATAATCTTTTTTATCAGCTAAGTCTTTGGTGAATTCTCACATTCAATATTGAGAAGTAATAAGGATAAATTAAAGCCACAGAAACTCTAAAGTATATTTTAATTGAATGGCAAAATTACTTCAGAAGATACTTATTAGATCTGCTACCCAGAAGTAAAGCTCATTAGATTCGGAGAACAAAATGAAAATGATTAATTCACTCACAAAACTGTTAGATCCTGAAGAGTCAAGAGGAACTATATACACACATTCAGTTCCCTTTAATAATGTAGTATCATATAATCATTAATCTCTTATAGAAATGATCAAGATGTGATTCCAAAATTTGGTAATGAAGCTCATAAGAGCTCTTGTGGCCCTTTTAACATTCTTCCTCTCTTCACATACATGTGACATAATGCAAATAAACATGCTTTGAAGAAGAAAAAGTTGTCTCTCCAAAGTTTTCTGTTCTTAAAGAGTAAATCCTTAAAGATAAACCAAACCCCCTCTCTCTCCAACCAGAGTACAAAATGCAGAACTCTGAACATAATAACCGTTTAATAGATACCTGATTAAGTTTCAATCATCACCCTTGTAAGATTGAACTTGTCTAGAAGACAAAGAGGGGAAAAAAGAACTTTATCTTTTCACCAAAGCCTTCTTCCCTAATGACCACTAAAAGCACCAAAATCCTATGTGTTCTACAAAGCAGTAACCTCAGAAATGTTTCAACAACCCCTGAGCCTTACAAACTCTGTTAGCAAAGCACAAACTCTATTTCTCAAAAATATCTAAAAAGTTCTCAGCAACCAATTTCTTTAATCACTACAGTTACATCTGAGACCTCCTCCTCAGGACACCCAATCCTTTTTCCTACCATCAGAGCCACTACAATATCTCCTGGTGCTTTAAGAGCACCATCTTGCTTCAACAAACACCTTTTAATTCCACTCTAAAATATACATATTTGTATTTCCAAACATCTCCCTCTAAAATTTCACTATACCACTGCCCACGTTATTCTTTACAGTCAAATCAGTCTTCTCATTTTTCTACAACATGGCATCCCATTCAACCTCTGTAACCAAATCAGGCCTGATATCAAGATAAAGAAGCACATATAAACCTTTCTTTCATTCTTCCCAAGTTCTCATTTATTACATAAAAAGAATTCATTCCTTTCTATAAATGAGTTTTAAAGCATTCTAATACAATAGAAAGCTAAAGAAAACAATAATTATCCACAAGATATTTATCTTTTGATTTCAACCAAATATTAGTAAGTCATTTCAGGTTCATGTTCAGATAGTTATCTATACATGGCCATGACAGTTTATTCAATAAAGAAGTATCACAGGTGGCTCACGCCTATAATCCCAGAACTTTGAAAGGCCAAGGTGGGTGGGTCACAAGGTCAGGAGTTCAAGACCAGCCTAGCCAAGACAGTAAAACCCCGTATCTATTAAAAATACAAAAATTAGCTGGGCACAGTGGTGGGCACCTGTAATCCCAGCTACTAGGGAGGCTGAGGCAGGAGAATCGCTTGAACCTGGGAGGCGGAGGTTGCAGTGAGCCAAGATCGTGCCACTGCACTCTAGCCCGGGCAACAGAGCAAGACTCTGTCAAAAGAAAGAAGAAAGAAAGAAAAGGAAGAAAAGAAAGAAAGAAAAGAAAGAGAGAGAAAAAGAAAGAAAAGAAAAGAAAAGAAAGAAGAAGGAAATAAAGGAGGGAGGGCAGGCGGGCACTCTAGCCTGGGCAATCGAGCAACACTCCATCTCAAAAAAAAAAAAAAAAAAAGGAATATCACAAAACGGTATATACTAATAGTAGAAATGAGGCATAATGAGCCATGCGGGGATACAGCTCACGCTTTGTAATGAGATTTATTCAGAGCCTTAAATTTTCTTTCTCATTAGAAAATAAACCTTTATTGCAAATACATGTTTAGCTATCTAGACATGAGTTATTTAATAACTTTTATTTTTCATTCAATACTGGCATATTAAATAACACTTCAGCGTGTAACATAAAAAAACTAGTATCACAATATCATTGTGTATGTAAGTTATAAGATCTAGATTAGTCTATCTCATCTTGAGCTATCAAATACTACTCTTGTTTTCATTTCTTCTCTCCCTTTAAATTATCTTCTGATATCACAAAAAATAAATACTGAAGAAAACCCAAGAAATATGACTATTCCATAAGTGCAATTGGAAGCCCAAAACAATTTACAGAAATGCTAAGAACACAACACCCTGTGCACAGTGGCTTACTCTGTAATCCCATCACTTTGGGAGGCCAAGGCAGGAGGATTGATTGTTTGAGCCCAGGAGTTCAAGACCAGCCTGGGCAACATGTTGAAATTACATCTCTACAAAAAAAAAAAATGTTTCAGAGACAAAGTCTCATTCTGTTCCCCAGGCTGGATTGCAATGGTGCAATCTCAGCCACTGCAGCCTCTGCCTCCCAGGTTCAAGTGATTTTCGTGCCTCAGCCACCCAAGTAGCTGGAATTACAGGGGTGCACCACCATGCCCGACTAACAAAAAAACTGTTTTAGTTAGTCGGGCATGGTGGTACACACCTGAAGTCCCAGCTACTTGACAGGCTGAAATGTGAGGATTGCTTCAGCCTGGCAGCTTGACAATGCAGTGAGTTATGATTGCATCACTGCACTCCAGCCTGGGTGACAGAACAAGACCCTGTCAAAAAATAATAACAACACAACATAACTTTCTACATTCAAGTCTACTCAACAAAGAAGCCCAAAGAATCTAAAATTCCCATTTTCTCATAGGGGTCAGGGTAGTTTATGCCAGTGGAGAAAAACCAAAAGAAGGTACGATGATCTTTGTACACTGTACAAAAACTTACCCACTTGTAGGATCTAAGGCAATAGCTCTGGGTTGATCCAACTCTTGCCAAAATAAAACTTTTCGTAAAGATCCATCTAAATTAGAAACTTCAATCCGATTAGTTTCGGAATCTGTCCAGTACAATTTTTCTCCAAGCCAATCACATGCCAGCCCATCGGGGGACAATATTCCAGAAACAACAACACGCTGTACACTCTCAGTTTTGTTAAATTCTGTTTGTTTAATGGCTTCTTCGCTGACATCACTCCAGTATATCAAGCCATGACCAAACACAAAGTCCACCGCAGCTGCATCCTCCAAGCCTCCAACTACAATCGTAGCATTCTCTTTGCCATTTGTAGCATCAACCAATCGCAAGTCCCGTCTGTTTGCATAAAGCAACAAAGGGGCCGCTAGAACAAAAAAAGAAAAATATGTAAGTGAAAAGGAAGAAAAGGTATTTGTTCCTACAAACTGGGTTTCAAATCAGTATTAGTGAGCAAAGACTGTCAAAAACTAAAAAAGGGTAAATAGATCAGTAGGAAACTATCTAAAATTCTTTCACACACAAAATATTATTTTTCCAGCATTTAAAAAATAAAACATAGCAAAAGGGGGAACCATATCCACCAGGACAATCTTTTCTTGTTAAAATAACTCAGATAAAATTTTAAAGTCTGGCTATACCAAGAATTGGCAAGGATGTGGAGCTAGCAGAACACTCATACTCTAATACGGTGAATGTAAAAATGGTACAACCACTTGGGAAAACAATTCAGCAGTTTCCTAAAAGGTTAAACATACAACCTACTGTATAACCCAAGGCAATAACTAGGTATTGCCTATTCCACATCTAGGTATTTACTCAAGAGAAACAAAAACATATGTCAATACAAGGACTTGTATGCACATGCTCATAGCAATTTATTTGTAATAACCCAAACTGGAATTCACCCAAATGTCATCAACAGACTAATGGATAAAAAACTGTGATACTGCCATACAAAGAAAGTAATGAACTCTTTGTACATAAAAAATGGGTAAATCTCAAAATAATTCAGAGAGAAAGAAGCCAGCCCAAAACAAAGGTATATATTGCATGGCTCCCATCTATATAAACTTTTACCAGGCAAACTAGTCTATCATGACACAAAGCAGATCGATGGTTGTCTCAAGATAGGGAGAGAGGGTGTAAAAGAATGAGGAGGATTAAAAAGGGGCATGAGCAAGCTTTTGAGGGTAATGAGCTATATTATCAATAATAATGATGGTTCCAGAAGTGTATACATGTCAAAACTTATTAAATTTTACACCTGACATTAGCAAAATTTATTGTGTATCAATTATACCTTAATAAAACCATTACAATCTGGCAGAAATAGTTATTAGTAAAACTACTTTATTCTGTTCTATGTTACTATTTAAATTACCTTTGAAAAGACCCGAGGCCAGGCGCAGCGGCTCACGCCTGTAATCCCAGCACTTTGGGAGGCCAAGGCAGGCAGATCACTAGGTCAGGAGTTCAAGACCACACTAGCCAATATGGTGAAACCCCATCTCTACTAAAAATACAAAAATTAGCTGGGTGTGGTGGCGCACGCCTGTAGTCCCAGTTACCCGGGAAGCTGAGGCAGGAGAATCACTTGAACCCGGGAGCAGAGGTTGCAATGAGCCAATATTGAGCCACTGCACTCCAGCCTGGGTGACAAAACAAGACTCCATCTCAAAATAGAAACAAAAAAAAGGAAAAGACCCAAAACTAAATATAAAGCCAATCTTACAGAAATAATGTTTAACTTTGAGAAAGTTGAGGCTGTTGGGAGTAGCATAGTATAAATTCCATGTTTTTTGTTTTTATTAAGTATCTATTCCAAGCTTCTGACATTTACTTTCCTAGTATCAAGCAGCAATTAAAAATCTAGAGTACCACTGTCCCATAGAACTTTCTGTAATGATGGAGATAGTTCTGTGCATAACACAGTACCACCAATCACATGTAGCTAAGGAGTGCTTAAAATGTGGCTAATGTGACTAATAAATTTTTAATTTTATTTAATTTTTTTTTTTTTAGATGGAGTTTTGCTCTTGTTGCCCAGGCTGGAGTGCAATGGTGCAATCTCGGCTCACTGCAGCCTCCGCCTCCTGGCTTCAAGTGATTCTCCTGCCTCAGCCTCCTGAGTAGCTGGGATTACAGGTGGCTACCACCACATCTTACTTATTTTTTGTATTTTTACTAGAGGCGGGGTTTTGCCATGTTGGCCAGCCTGGTCTTGAACTCCTGGCCTCAGGTGATCCGCCCACCTCAGCCTCCCAAAGTGCTGGGATTACAGGCATAAGCCACCACTCCACCCCCAATTTTATATAATCTTAATTCATTCCCATTTAAATAGACAAGTGTGGCTACCGGTAGTAGTGGATGGCACACGTCTAGAGGCCGGAATGCGAACATAAATTAGGCAGCAAAAGTAAGACCAAGGCAGGCATGGTGGCTCATGCCTGTAATGCCAACACTTTGGGAGGCTGAGGAGGAGGACTATTTGAGCCAGGAGACCAGCCTAGGCAACACATGGAGACCTCATCACTACAAAAAAAATAATTTAAAAAAATTAGCCAGGCATAACGGTGCACGCCTGTAGTCCCAGGTACTCAGGAGACTAAAATGGGAGGATCACTTGAGCCCAGGAGTTTAAGGCTACAGTGAGCTATGATCACACCACTGCACACCAGCCTGGGTGACGGAGGGAGACCCTGTCTCAAAAAAAAAAAAAAAGAGAGTGAGTTATGATGCAATAATCTACATGATCTTTTATAATTACTTACTAAAGGTCTAAAACTGTGTCATCTGAAGCCGAGCCCAAGTACCATTTAGAAGTAACCATTCCCCGTTTTTCAAGAAATTACTCCAATGTCAAAAAAGTATATAAGAAAAAGTGATGTTGACACTATAGATTGTGAAACAGAGTTACAAATGTATACTATTTTCATCTACAGGTACCACATAAACTTCCCTAAGCTTAAATCCAAACTTCTTGGTCAAAAAAAAATTGGCAGATAGCTTTTTTCTTTTGAGACTGAATTTTGCTTTTTTTTTTTTTTTTTGAGACGGAGTCTTGCTCTGTCGCCAGGCTGGAGCACAGTGGTGCAGTCTCGGTTGACTACAACCTCCGCCTTCCAGGTTCAAGCGATTCTTCCGCCTCAGCCACCCAAGTAGCTGGGACTACAGGCGCGTGCCAAACACCCAGCTAATTTTTGTATTTTTAGTAGAGACGGAGTTTCACCATGTTGGCCAGGATGGGAATTTTGCTTGTTTTCCAGACTGGAGTGCAGTGGCATGATCTCGGCTCACAGCAACCTCCGCCTCCCGGGTTCAAGCAATTCTCCTGCCTCAGCCTGCTGAGTAGCTGGGATTACAGGCGCCCGCTGCCACCCCAGGCTAATTTTTTGTATTTTAGTAGAGACAGGTTTCACCGTGTTGCCCAGGCTGATCACAAACCCTGAGCTCAGGTCATCTACCTGCCTCAGCCTCTCAAAGTGCTGGGATTACAGGCATGAGCCAGCGTACTCAGCTGGCAGACAGCTTTTTTAAAAGGTGACTAACCAGTCTTTGTTTATTCTGCCTATCTGCTGCAGCTATTAGCAAATTCATAAATTTCCCTAATTATCATTTTTAATTCATTTCAGACCTTCACACATCACATTGATTTATCAGTCCCCACAGAGCCCACTATACTGAGTCTCTCATACTATGGACCACATGTAAACATCATTAAAAAAAGGTCCCTACTAGTGAAGGATACAATGCTAAGCGCTACATAAGGCTAAGGAATATCCACAAAACACTTAAAAATTAAAATCCAAGAGTGATAATAATCTAATATTTATTGGGCACCCTCTTTATGGCACTATCCTTGGAAAACTGTATCAAAGCTATATGACATTAGGTGGCAGCCAAATGTCTTTCATGGCTTTCAAGTTAAACTTTAACACTTCTACATGTACTATTTTTGGTCTACAAAATCCAAAGACGCTTTCTAGTCATTTGAGGCCTCGAAAGCATTCTGAGTCTCCTCTGCCTCCCAAAAACCAGCAAAGGAGGCAAATTAATCTTTAAGTTAGCAGTACTAGTTACAATTGAGGATTTGTAAAGGACTGTACATAAATCTGTTGTACATAAACCACACTATTGAAAGGAAATCCCAGGGTTCATCCTGTCCAACCGACCCTTCCGATGCTTAAATACTTTCTATTATTATATTGTCACCAGTATCTGTTCAGCAATATATTAAATGGGATATCCCGTAGGTATAATTTGATTTGTAACATCGTTTTTATCTGCCAAAGGGATTCACCGGATCCACACACTTGCTCCCTGGAACATACCAGTATCTTCCATTTCAGAGAGCTTACTTTCTGACTGCCTAGTACTCAGATAACCCAAATAATTACCATCGCTTCTCTTTAGGGGGACACTCACAGTGCTCAGGAATCTTTGTTATCCTTTATTAAACTCCTGGGAAATTTTCTCCAGCAGCCTTTCTAAACTTTTTCTACTTTTAAAGACTAATTTCCAGCCAGGCATGGTGGCTCACACCTGTAATCCCAGCACTTTGGGAGGCTGAGGCGGGCAGATCACCTGACGTTGGGAGTTCAGGACCAGCCTAACCAACATGGAGAAACCCTGTCTCTACTAAAATTACAAAATTAGCTGGGCATGGTGGTGCATGCCTGTAATCCCAGCTAGTCAGGAGACTGGGGCAGGAGAATCTCTTGAACCCAGGAGGCAGAGGCTGCTGTGAGCCAAGATCACGCCATTGCACTCCAGTGTGGGCCACAAGAGGGAAAACTCCATCTCAAAAACAAAAACAAAACAAAAAGACCAATTTCCATGCCCTGAACCCTTCATTCTTAGACCATCTCAAAACAATCTCAGTGAAGCAGGAAATAAGGTGAATGTCATACATCCCCAACATCTTAATTTATACCTCATCTTGTCCTCAGTCTCAAATGACAAAATGACTTTTCTCAGGCTAAAGCAGTACTTTTGGTTCAGACTCCTTACCTCCTCTCTACAACTTAGCTCTATCAATTGTTCTGTATTTCTTGTTATTTTCAATGGTTTATGCCAGGTTCCTTGCTATCAAAAACTTTTGTTTTAATAACCCTGACCTTGCTACCAACAGAATAATTATGTTTCTACTAACTGCAAAATCTTGTAACACTGGCATATATATTTCATACTACCATTCGTTAGCTATTGCTCTTTCATCTTCCTACCCATCACTCAACTGCAAGTGCTTTCTCTAAATCTTTTTTTTTTTTTTTGAGTCGGGGTTTCACTCATGTTACCCAGGCTGGAGTGCAATGGCGCGATCTCGGCTCACCGCAACCTCCGCCTCCTGGGTTCAGGCAATTC